AGTTTACAAAACTGTACATATACTTAACTAGATCTTGTACAGGTAGTATTCTGGTATTCATGGTTACATTATATGAATCTTTCGTGCTTTTGCTGCTGCAAATGTATCACTTAAACTATCAAAATGTAAGGTATTAAGTACGTCTTTTTCAATACTTAACATTGCCAAGATACTAAGTCGTTCTTGAGTCACTGAGGTTCTCAAGTATGTAAGAATTAATTTCAGCTTGCTGAAGGACCTTTCACAACTAGCAATAGAAACCCCAATTGTTAACAAAATTTGCAATGCAATTATTAAATTTTGGAAAACATCTTCACCATATGAAATTATAAATGTTAGCAAATCAGTTGCAACCATTGGTTCAGGAAAATCGGTCTGTGTTTGTGTACTTATCAACATTCTACAGTCTTTAATTCTGGTCCATCAATATCACCTGGATAGCTCTTTGCTAAGTCAGAACCTTTTTCTTGCAATTTTCCGTCTTCGAAATCTCCAGACACAATATTTTGCACATCTAGTAGAAACCAAACAGTGAATCTAGATCTAGTAAGCGAGAAAATTATCCTGTTATTTCTGTAATCAAGCGATCAATAACATCCTTCATGATGCGATACATTTCCTGTTCAGCAGTCAATCCAGCATCAGCTGCATTTTCACCTGGCATTCGTTTACGACGTATTTTTCTTCTTTCAATAGTAAATACCCAAGTTTCACATTGATTCTTGCCCACTTTAAGTGTTTCTTGACAGCAATTTTCACTTGATTCTATCAATTTCTCTTTCAAAGAATCAAGATCAGCAGCTGCTTCTCTAAAATTCATTTTTGGGTCCTGAAGACGTTTCTGCACGCCATTGATAGATGATAAAAGATTTCTCCGAAAACGCATAAGTACAGGAAAATCAAATGAAAGCATGCATTGCAGAACATTATGAGCACCACATTTTGTTTCAGCCGTGTTGTCATTCTCACTTAATTGCTCTAACAGTCCTAGCAGTTCATCCAGTTTTTCATGTACAACTTTTGCCACCTTTTCTCTTGCACTCCACCATGTTTCTGAATCACGTTTGACAGAGATCTTAAGCTCCTGCTGCAGTTCGTCCCATCGATTTGTTGAATGAGCAAAGAAATTATAAATGGCTTCAATTATACCAAAAAAGGTAATAACTGTTGTTTACTGACTTGTAGCATGAAGACATGCTAAGTTCAAACTATGGTTGTCACAGTTTATAAACACTGCTTTTGGATTTTTGTTCAGAATTATTTGTTGAACACCTGACAGATGACCTGACATGACAGCAGCATTATCATAACATTGTGAACAACAATCACTCAATAAAATTCCATCCACTTCTAATTTTATGCTTATTGTTTTTTCAATATTGGCAGCGTCTTTTTCCTTTATCTGTATAAAGTCAATAAATGACTC